CCGGTCCTTTGATCATCTTTGTGGCCCTTCTCTGGACCCTCTCCAGCTTGTCCACATCTTTTTTCTATAGCGGGGATCAAAACTGAACAGTATTCTGGGTGTGGCCTCTCACAAGTGCTGAGTAGAGTGGGTTAATGCCTTTTTAATCTCTGCTGGTGATGCCCTTGTTGATGCAACCCAGCATCCTGTTGGCATTCTTTGCCGGAGCAGCACACTGTTCACTCATATTGAACTTGTGGTCCACCAGGACCCCCAGGTCCCTTTCCACAGAGCTGCTCCCCAGCCGGGTAGATCCCAGCCTGTGCTGCACTCCTGGATTATGTTTTCCCAGGTGCAAGACCATACATTTGTCTTTGTTGAACTTCATAAGGTTTTGCTGAAAAATTTCAGAGGCTGGACTATCACAAAAACACAGGATAAAAAAAACAGGAAGAAAATGCACAATGAGTGGCTTATTTGCTGACATCATTACCTATTTTGTCTGCAAACACTTGTTCGCAAATATGATCCATACTTCTTTAGAGTCAAAAACTGATGTTATTCAACTTCTGTAAAATGTTTCTACAAACCATTAATAATTTTCTCCTATCACAATGAATAAACAAAGACTTAGCAAACAAATGGGACTCTAACCAGAGATAACAATGAAACCTAGACTTTTTGTTAGGCCTACAACTGAAAGCAAACTAACTTGTCCGGATTTTGCAGAGCTCTGTAACACTGACATCCTTGTTTTGCTCCAACAGGAAAAATAATACTCCTAGAAAACAATTGCTACAGGACATACAAACACACTTGTGGAGGTACTGCAGTTGTGAGAAGTAAAATAACTTCACAGTCCAGAACCATGGAGATATTTTACTCAGCATATGCAATTCTTTGTTAAATATTCATATTTTTGCCTAGCATCAAAGGGGAATAAAAATAAAGCATTTTATTACTTTTGCTGTTTCATGCAACCCTGATCCTTGTACCTCCGTCTCACGTATAGGCACCAGCCTCGCCCACGCTGCAGGGCTGTTCGTCAGCCTGTGCTAAGTTGGTGAATATAAAAATGATGAAACAACAAAAGTTTGCCCATTTGATATGATCTTTCTTCATTCTCCTCCCCTCTCTGTTTTTTTTGAAATGGCAGTAACCAAGAGATGACCTCAAAGTACTCTACATTATGCAATCAAGTCATATTTTGTCCTCATGACTATGTACACTCTTCATCATGACAGTAATTAATAAAGACAATTAATAAAGGAAAAAAGTGAAATAAGGCTGTAATAAAAGATAGCGTACATAATGAAGAAAGCAGGTTCCAATTTCATGCTGCGCATTAGGTTCTGGCTGTAAACACTCCTCCACCAGGGACAGGAAGTTTTTGTGAACTGCAAGAATATCTTCAATATTTGAAAACAACATCTGCAAAAGAATAAAACATACGTAAATAAAACATCAGATACAAAACAGAAGAAACATGCAATTAGGAGACTAACCTTAACTGTCTCTTCTGTGACATTTTTATCCACTTTGGCTGTAGCACATTGGATCATTCGGTGAAGGAAAGCCTGCATGAAACAAGACAAATAAGGAAAAAGCTATTTCAGGAAGACTTGAATAACTTTTAGCTTTTTACGCTTATAATTTGTTTCCCAAATTTCTTATGCTTTGGATACAGTGTCACATCAAAATATTATTTGGAATCTAAAGAAAGTATTTTATTTATAAAGCATTTAGTAGTCCTGTTATCCTAACATGATATAAAACCCTATCTACATAGTGTTAAAAAAAGTTAAACAGTGAAAAATTAATGAAGCAGAGAAACTGAACATTTTCTGAAGTACCACTTCCACCCTGCACTCATATTACAATCAAGCAAAAGCAAAATGAGTAATTTTCAAAATCTCGCTCTAGCACTTTACAAATTGACTACAAGACAAAGCCGAAATAAGCCACTAATTTCTAAATTAAAACTAGTTGGGAGATACTATAATGAAATGTAACTTTTACCATAGTAACCACAAGTCAGATTTCTGACGTATTAATAATCAAATCTATTTTAAAGTAAATTCACTTAAATAAGTCAGCTGCACCTGGTTTTGCTTAATGAAAATGTTCACTCTTCCCTCCCCAAGACCTCATCCTTGGGGATCAAATGAGAAGTTAGTAATACCACTAATAAAATACCAAAAGAGTAAGGTTTCTTGTATTTCACATTCAAGAATGGGAAACAACAAGAAGAGATGTACAATAAGTCGTTCCAAAAGAAATAAATCACATTTCAGGTACAAAGGATATAATTAATTTTTATGAATTCATTCCATTACAAAGACTTGGGTATGTTCTGAAAATATCTACACACTGTAGACTAAAATATTACATTGACAATTCTTCACATAGACACGCATAATCTTTAGTCATTAAAAACTGGCACCACAAGTGCACAAATGTCATGTCTTTCATAACCATTTTGCTCCAAGCCACTGTGCATTGTACAGTGTACATGAACTCATCTAAATTCTGGCGTGGTGTAAATTCCATAAAAGAGGCAATAAAATACTCCTACTGTGTGGATGGACAGCAGTCACAGCATCCCTTTTTTTCTCTCTGCTGGGACTTAAACATTTTCATTCCCAAGCAGTGATCCTTTCTCTGCTGAAGAGGACTATGTAACTGGCATTACACATTTTTATTACTGAAGAGACAAATCTAGTTATCCAGGACATAAACAGAATTAAGTTTGGAACATTGCCAGCACATTGTACGTTTCGTATCACTCTCTACAGTGATGTAGATTTTCTACTTCTTTAAACCCCTCTTTTTCCTGACTATTATGCTTTCATTCTAATGTTTTATTGATGGTAAAAAAAGCCATTAATTCATTTGCAGCAGTTTACTGTTGGTGGACGACAGCCCTTTATATCCTTCCTTGCTATGAATATCCACAGGGGTTATGGCAAATTTACTGTGCACATTGCCTGTACCAATCCCCCATAGAGTGAGAAAGCCTGTTTAACTGTATGACTCTAAATTCATTTTTGAAAGTTTTCACTAAACCAGCCAACAGTATTAAATATACTTTAGAATTGAGAGGGAAAAAAAAAAAATCACGAGAACTACCTCTGAAACTCCTGTCTATTTTTACTGTCTGTAATCTCTCTCTGTTCACATTATTTCCCCATAGACCAAACATACTGCTCACCCACACTTATGTTATCCCAGAAGATCTTCATTTCCTGTAACTGTGAAGGAAGGTGAACATTCAGTTGGCTGAAGGCAAAACAGAAAACGATCTGGGAGCTGGGGCATTAGTTATTCTCGAGTGATTCAAGACACTAGCTGAGAGTCATGAGGTCAAGAAGAGTATACATCAGCTGCAATAAACAGAGTTGTCCAAGGCAGCACTGCCCCAGACCCCACATCTGCAGAGGTTATCAGAAACTGAATCCAGGAAAATCCAAACTCTCGCAGAACCCAGACACAAGTCACTAATTAAGGTAGGCAGGCCTAGGATGACTTCAGCCCCTTCCAGCAACTTGGCGCAAGCCCGTATGTTACGTTGCTGTGCTCATACTGCAGGGGTAGTGTAGTCACGATGCCAGCTTTTCCTAAAGATTTGCCACCTGTTGTTCCCATCAATGTAGATTTGTTTCCTGAAAAAAATCATAACACTATGTCCCACAAATCTGTGGATGTGACCATTTGAATCTTTCAGGGCACTTACATGAGAGCACTACGAAGCCACACATATCTCAAAGTAATTGGAAAAATCTCATGTTTTCCGGAAGAGTGGGGTAAGAGAATTCAGGGGAGTGCAGGTAGGGATGGAGGTCTCTCCCTCCATCCACCTGCCACCAGGACCCATCCTTGGTGGTCTTCATCCACTGTGGCGAGAGCAATGCAAAGCAATGATAAAACCCAGGTTTCCATGATGCCAAATGCATCATGGATACCAACTCCCTTCCTGGAACACAGAGACATCGTTGACTCCATACACACACCACCTCTGCTCTGAGGCTTTGCTAAGGAGAACAGGCAGTTGTCATCAGGCAGGAGGATGGAGAAGTAATTGCTTTTGTTACAGTGTGAAATAACCTTAATCCAGCACTGTGACTATGGAAAGAGAGCTATCTCTGAACTTGTATGAACACACAGTAGGTCTGAGGGAGAGATGACGGTTCAAAAGACTCCAGAATTATTTGAACATCAACTGAGGACAACCAAGAACAGTTCTTCAAAAATGAATAAACAAAGAAAAAGCAGGTCATTTGTAGACATAGCTTTAAGGAGGACCCCAACATAGAAATAACAGACCTTAAAAGGAAAATATATAAGGATGCCCAGAAACTGCTCAGGAGCTGACAGCTGCTAAGCTAAGAGAAAAAAGTTTATAGAAGCTTTTGAAGATAAACCACATAAACTATTACTAACCACAGAAAAAACACACCTGTAAAAAAATGAAAGAAAAGTAAAATGGACATCTCAGACAATTTATGATTCACTAAAGAACCGGACATACAAAAAAAGTCAGAAACTCCTCTGAAATAGCACTGAGTGGTTTCTAAAAATTCTACCTTAACTTCAGGTCTGCTGCTCAAAGTCCAGACTCATTACTGAGCACAGCATTACATGAAGGAGCAAAGCATTACAAATTGCAAGGGCACAGCTAAATAGCCCCTGCTCCTGGACTGAGCAAACAACTGTAGCAATCAACTGGCATACATAATTCCCATGCGCATTAAAAAAAAAAACAAAAAACCCAAAAAAACCAAAAAAAAACCCCAAAGCAAAAAATGAGCTCAAACTTAATGCAATTCCATTTATCACGCACACATGTCAGTAAATCATGACTCATGTTTGTTTCCTGGAGTATACTGCACGTCTTGCTGAGGTTACTTCAAGATTCATCTACATTAGTGTAGATGTTTCTTAGCACAACATCAAGCACAGAGAATAACATGTATCTCTGTGCACGCCAGGATTCCAGACCTTTGTCATCTACACAGTGATCCTCAACTTCCCTAAAGCTTTTCAAGTGGATTCCAGAGTTTCCATTAACTTACCTTCAATTCCTAGTTTTCTCAAGGAACAGTAAAGCCATATGGTTTAAACATAACATAATTTTCCATTTTCATCTTGTGCTACCAGCATTCTAGCTACATTGCTATAGTACAGGGATTCACCCTTGCAGCACTGCAAATGGAGATCCGCTGCCCCTGGCACTCTCTGCCAGCCAGACTCTTGCTGATTTCCTGAATTCAGAGTTAGAGACCTCCATGAAGCATTCCAGAGGAGCAAGTTGGCTGGGTACCATAAAGAGCAGTCTAAATTTAAAAGATCAGATGAAGAGGAAAGATAAAAGAGAGGGTGCTTGTTATTTACATTTTAAAAAAAAAATCTTAATCCAGTTTCATTTGCCAACTTTTAGAACTGTCTGTGGAAAACTTTGTCATTCTAGGAATATTCTTGAGTCACTCAAATTGCTACAACCCTTGCCACCGCAAAGTTTGAAACTCAAATTACAAACCTAAACTTCCTCAAGCATCCTTCTGGAAACTTCCTTAGCACAAAATGGCATCTAAATGATCAGTGTATAGCTGCTTTGGAGAAGGAGAAGAAATGCCCAAAAATGCTGAGAAAATTCTAAACATGAAGAGGCACATCTTTAGAAGTTTGATGTTCTTTAGAAGTTTGACAAACTTGCAGACCAAACCGTGGGGTACCAACTGAGCCCTTTACAATAGGGGAGCAGCTACACATAAAATACATAAGATAACAGCTTAGGGCTAAGGTTCCCTAACTCCACTGGGGACAATAAAACTCTATTTCTGGCTATGACTCAGGGTCTCTCTGCCACACTGGTAAGGAGGAGGGTAATTCACCTCTTCCTTAGAGAAATGTGGCAAAGAATTACACAGAACATTTGGAGAAGATTCCATACTAATAATATCAATGAAGATAACTAAATCCTTTTTTCATGGTTGTGTATTCATTACTTCCAAAATATTTTGACATACTTTCTGTACTAGTCCGTGCACTAACTCTTTTACCCTTTGCCTGACAGTGCTGTAACACACTATAGGAAACACTGGGACTGAAAATTCAAACATAAAGACCGAAAATCCAAATTCAAAGAATTAGAAAAGAATCTATTCACTATGCCAAATAAACACTAATGTGTTTGCCTGTCTGTTGATCTGCTGCCATTTTGCGAGGCAGCGTGTTTCACAGAGAACGACACTGAGTTCCTGTTACGGGGATTTTACTTCTGGTCTTATGAAAATAAGAGTAGCGTTGTTGGGTTGTTTGGTGGGGGGTTTTTTCTCTATAGTTGCTCTATGTGTTGTTGAAAAAAAAAGAAAAACACCACCGCTACAGATCACGCAAGAAGCTGCCAACAGCACAGATTACTTCTCTAACATCTGGAATGAAATCAGGGAAGACAAAGAAGTCTGCCTGTAGAAGATTCCCAGGGCACGAAGAGTTTTCACCTTCTCGACAGATAAGAAATTAAGTCCTGAAATTATGTCAGAGCACCTGGATCACAAAATATATGTAACTATTTTTC